TGTACCTTGCCCGGAAACTAATTGCCAGCCAGTGAAGGGACTTCAGGAACGGTGTTATTTGGTCATTAAGGGAAGTACCCATAATTAACCTGGCTACCATATTTTGTACAAGCTGAAGTTTTTGAACTTGGCACAAGGGTAGCTCCATGTAGAGCGCATTACAGAAGTCTAATCGAGAGGCTACCAGTGCATGTACTACAGTTTCAAGGTCTTCCTGCTCTGATAACAGGAGCTCCTGACTGTCGCAATCCACCTGAGCTGTCAAGTGGAGCGACGAGTCAAGGAGCACCCCCAAGCTGCGGACACAGTCCTTCAGAACTGGCTGACATAACTCCATTCCTGGGTTCGGGTTTCCTATGACAAGTATCTCCGTCTTACCTGGATTCAGCTTGAGTTGGTTTTCCCTCATCCAGTCCATTACCGCCCCAAGACAGGCATTCAGAGGAGAGATGCCATTCTTAGTCACTGCATCAGTCTGAGACAGAAAAATATATTTGGGTGTCATCAGCTTATTGATAATATCCCGCCCCATGCCTTCGAATGATCTTACCCAGTCGCTTCATGTAAATGTTGAATAGCATTGGGGGCAGAATCGCACCTTGAGGGACGCCCGATTTGAGCTCCCTCTTGGCCGAACAGCTTTCCCCAAGCGACACCATCTGGAACCTACCGGAGAGGTAGGACTTGAACCACTGCAAAGCAGTGCCACCGATACCCAACTCTCTCAGGCATTCTAGAAGGATACCATGGTCTATGGCAGGGGTCAGCAAGATTTTCAGACCTGGGGCCGGTCGCTGGTCCCCAGGTCTTCCGCTGGGCCGGGAGTACTACTTCCGGAGTACTGTGCATACACAAGCGAGTCGCGGACGCCATTTTGTTTTCCATGGGGCTGGGAGTACTCCTTCTGGAGTACTCAGCACATGCGCAAACGAGTCGCAGATGCCATTTTGTTTTCCAAAATGGCAGCCGCAGCTTGTTTGCACATGTGCAGCAGTACTGTGCATGCGCAAATGAGTCGCAGCCGCCATTTTGAAAAACAACATGGCGGCGGCGGGGGCTGGTCCAGAGGCCTCGGGGGGCTGCACCTGGCCCCCAGGCCGTAGGTTGCCGACCCCTGGTCTGTGGTATCGAAGGCTGTTGAGAGGTCCAAGAGCACCAACAGGGTCACACTTCCCCTGTCAATGCCCAGATGGAGATCATCAACTAAGGCAACCATGGCAGTCTCAACTCCGTATCCTGCCCTGAATCTGGTTTGAAATGGATCCAGAAAATGATAGGTTCATCTTAGGGTCGTCATAAATCGGAAATGACTTGAAGGCACACAGCACACACAAATTACTTGTGTATTGCTGAAATCAGAGATACTGTAGAAAGAGAAGCACCATTGTGAACAATAAACTGGTGGCTCAGGTCCAGCAGAAAGATGTTGGACTACTACTTCCATTAGCCCTAGCACATAGCCAGTAGTGAGGGATCATGGAAGTTAAATCCAGCAGCATCTGAAGGACCACAATTTGACCACTCCTACAGAAAAATAATACAACTCAAAATATGAGAGAAAGATAAGGAAATAGTTTGAAAGAGGGCTTGCTGCTTACATCTGGACAACAGCCCTCAGCTTAATAAATCATGACCCTCAGCCACATGTTCCTTCCCCACCTCTTGCTTCTTCC